GTGCCCCTCTCTCTCTCCGTTTCACTTTCACATACATGCTCATGTGCTCATAAATAGAAAGAAAAAAAGGTGGTTAGGGTGACTGGATCCCATATGGCTAACAGCGTGGTTCGAGTCCCAGACCCAGCAGCTTGAAAACCACACTGGGCACGTGTGTGGGCATACCCAAAGTCCCAAGAGGAGAAGGAGGAGGAGGGATTGCAGCATGGCCATACCTCCCTGGAGGCGATTTCTCACTTTCTCTCTCTCTCTCTCACTCTCTTTCTCTGTCTTGCAAGAACACACACTCTATAGCAAAAAAAATTAAAAATAAAATAAAATAAATAAAATAAAATGAAGTCATATTCTCTCCCCTGAGGAAGTGATAACCGTGGCACCTGTTGCATGGACGGACACATTGGGATGTGCTTCCCCCTGGTGGCTATTCTGAGCATTGCATGGAGTGATGCTCTGGGACTCTTAACAGGATGTCCTGGGACAAAGGCCACAAAGCCTCAGGGTGGGAAAAGTCGTCTCCTCCCCTGACCCCAACCCCAGCAGGGACCTGCCCATCTCCTCACACTGGGGGATAGGATGTCTCATCACGCCCGCTTCTGCCACCTCCTCTCTGCTGGACCTCTCCGCACTGGTTTCTCTACTCAGCAAATGGTGAAGATACGCTCGCGCACACAGCCAATGGTCACTGAGGATCACCCTCCTGTCCCCTGCCCAGGAAAGGGGCAGCTGGAGTGAGGGCTGCCCACCTCACAGGGCTGGCGTGTTGGGAGGAGGCAGCCCACCCCTGTGGATGCCAAGCAAAGTGGGTTTGTGTAGTCGGGAGCCCCAAATCAGTAAGAGCTTGCCCATAAACTTTACCGATTCTGAAGAACACACCCAGAGGGCCAGCAGGGAAAGACGGGAGTTTTATTAACTAGCAGGAAATGGCCCTGGCTGCGCTGCTGACTGCCCTGTGGTGAGTGATCTGTACTGTCAGGGAGCACAGGCTTAAGTCAGGGACGTTAAGATCAAAGTGTACAGGAGCCAGCAGGTGGCATGGTAATTAAGGCACTGGACTCCCACATGGTCAAACATGGTTCGAGTCCCAGACCTGGTGGCTTGAAACTCACACTGGGCGTGTGTGTGTGCCCAAAATCTCAGGAGAGAAGGGATTACAGCATGGCCACCCCTCTGGGGCCTTCTCACTGTCTCTCTGTCTCTCTCTAGGAGCACATGCACCCTATGGCAAAAACCTAAAAAAAAAAAAAAGAAAAAGAAAAAACAACAACAACAAAGCATACATAAATCGAGCAAAAGATCCTTGCAGGCTCCTGGCCCCAAGACAGGGGTCTGCAGTTCAGGAATCGCAACCAAAGGTTAGCTTACGCATTAACAGGACTGGCGGGGTGTGCAGGTAAGGTTGGGTCTCTGGTCTTCAGGTGTTGCACCTCCCTGGAACCGCCAGGTGGGAGTCCAGAGCCCTTAACCACCACACCACCCACCTTCCCCCTTAAATACCTTTTAAATTTTCTTGGCTTGTTTTTAGTTTTGTTATAGGGTTTGCCAGAAAGACAGAGGGAAAGTGAGAAATCCTCCTCCGGGGGGATGGCCACACCACAGTCCTTTCTCCTCCGGTCTCCTTTTGAGATTTGGGGTATGCACACACACGTGCCCGGGGTGTTTCTCCAGCCACCAGGCCCAGGACTTAAAACTGCACGGTCAGCCCCTTGGGATTCAGCACCTTGACCTCCACGTCACCTCTGGCCCCTGTCTGTACACTTTTTGAGCCCAGTGTATTGCGGGCTCCACACGTGGCCTCCACTCCACCGAGGAGGCTCGCAGGCCCCCTGGATCCTGGCCAGTGAGTTCCCTGCACGGGAGACCGGTCCTTCTCTTCCGCGGGGAGAGCCCGGGGTTGCGTATTCCTCATCTCCCCAGCAGGGGGAGCCATCGCGCAACACATCCCACACGCAATGGAGGCGCGGCCTCTGGCTGGGTGTCGGCTCTAACACCGGCACCTGCACCTCCACCTCCACCTCGGGTTTCTGGTCAGGTAGGCCCTGGAATCCCTTTTCCTCTAGCAGCTGTTTTCACAGGCCCACAGAAGCCATGTTAGGTCGTTTGTCTATTTTAGAGGGGACTCCTCCAGCCTTTATTCAATCTACCCCTACCTGTTTGCACGTGACCTTGGTGGGTTCTGCAGCCCCATTGCTTTCTCTGTGGCTCCCTAATGTCCCTCACCCTCGGGGCTCCCCTTTTCCCTGGAGTAGTTCCCGTTTCCTCTGGGTCAGCAGCTGCTGGGGTGGCCCTGTGTGTGTGATCGCCCACCCTGCCGGGAGGACCGAAGTCAGGGTGCATCACCTGAGGAGGGAGCTGACTTCATCCCCAGGTGAATTTCCTTCCATCCGCCCCCTTGAAGGGATTCGCATAAAAGCCCTGGGCATTCCCAGCTCATGGGTAAACTGCAGTTCCTCCATGGTACTCCACGCAGGGCCCGAGGAGGCGAAGTCCTTGGTTACACACGCCAGGGTATGTCTGCTAAGGTTTAGCGCCTCCGGTCTTTTGATGTGACTTAGGGGGTGCACACCCCTCTGCAGCTCCTGGCCTGAGCTAATTCTGTGAAGTGAAGGGTCAGATGTTTATGGGGTCCAGCTGCAGCTTGCAGCAAGGTCTCAAGCGAGACAGGACAATGAGGGACAGAAGGAAGCGTGGTCACCTGGAACAATGGTGTGTTGGCCAGTATTTAACCACCTGCTCCCTGGATGGGGGGCGGGGGGGCTAGGCAGGGCCCAGTGCTTGACCAATAGCTGACTGTGGCAGGAGCCATCTGAGCTGCTCTAAATTTCTAGGTGGGGCACCTTAGACCAGGTTGGCAAAAATTTCATTGTCTTGGGACCAGCATCTTACAGTGATGTTGGATCTGTTCATTCAGCCTTGCCACCTACATTGATTAAGAGAAGCTACAACATAGTTTTAAAACTATACTATTTAACAAACCGATCTAAACCTCTGTAGTATGTTAAATGATTAACATTATTACACTTTCACAATTTAACCCTGTTACATTGTGTCCCATGAGCAAACATTTCCTCTCTTAAGATTTCTCACTACAGGTTGCATTCTTGTAACCATTGTCCAAAACAAGTGGCTTAAGTTTCTTCTTCTAAGCAAACAGATTTGTTTATGACCTTATTGGTTACAATAATTACAGATGACACTAGTTTCAGAAGTTACAAGTATCAGTTCATCTTAAGTATGAAAAAAAAGAGGGGCAGCAGGTGGCATAGTGGTTAAGGCGTTGGACCCTCACGTCTGATCACTGTTAGAGTCACGCCAGCAGCTTGAAAACGACACAGGGCACATGTGCATTCATGTCCAAAATCCCAAGAGGAAAATGGAAAAGAAGGGATTGCAGCATGGCCATCCCCCTGGAGGGTGATTTCTCACTTTTCCTCTCTCTGGCAAGCACATGTGCTCAATGGGAAAAAAAAGTAAGAAAAGTAAGGGGGGGGGGACCAGCAGTTAGCGTACTGGCTATGTCGCTGGACTCCCACGTAATCGACCGCGGTTCGAGTCACGGACCCAGTGGCTTAAACTCACGCCAGGCACGTGTGTGTGCGTGCCCAAGATCCCAAGAGGAGAATGAAGGAGAAGGGATTGCGGTGTGGTCATCCCCCCCAGGGGTGATTTCTTGCTTTATGTCTCTCTGTCTTTCTGGTGAGCGCATGTGCCCTATAGCAAAAACCTCTCCAAAAAAAAAAAAGAATTACATTCTGGGTTCTCGTCTGGTGACCTCCCTGAATGTGCCGGGTGCATGCGCGCCTGTGTCTCGGAGCTGGCTGGGGCTGGGGGAGACTGCGGGCTCTGCTGGAGGTGCCTATATCTCTCACTCATGGCAAAAATACATGAGCTTTTCTTTTCTTTAGTTTTGCTATAGGGTGTGTACCCTTGCCAGAGAGACAGAGAGGCAGAGAGAGGGAAAGCAAGAAATCACTCCTGCCTCCTCCCAACCCACCCCAGGAGGATGGTCACTCTGTAATCCCTTCTCCATCCTCCTCTCAGGATTTTGAGCATGCACACACATACGACCAGTGCGATTTTCAAGCCTCTGGATCTGGGACTCAAACCACGTGGTTGGCCATGTGGAATCCAGCACCTTAACCAACACCTGCTGGTCCAGTGAGTGAACTTTAAAATAAAAAGGAGGCGGGGATGAAAATCAGGGAGGAGTGGCCCCCTCAACACTCCCAGGCCCAAAAGCTCCCAGCGAGCTGTAAGGAGCAAGTTCCATCCATCCTCTGGGAGGTGAAACCTTGGGGGCCAGGGACAGCCTCCTGTGTCTGTCCTCCCCAGGATTCCTCATGTGAAGGCTGTCATCACCATTGTGGGCACCTGCAGGCTCAGGTGGTACCTGCCTTCCAGGCCCCCCTCCCAGAGTGGCCGGAGGCACCCACCACAGCCACCACGAAGGAGGCAGGAGCCCCGATGGTGGAACCCCAGGCATCTGCAGGAGTATGCTGCCATGGCCAGAGAGGTCTGCCTCCACTTCCGAGGGCCCAGCCCTGCTCCCCACCCCTGCAGACACAGAGAAGAAAAGTCAACTTCTTGAAGATTTATTGTGCCAGTGCCCGGCTTGGGGAGTCCTGCCTTGTAGCCAGACCCCAGCAGCCCGTGCACCAGGGATGGGCTGGCCGGGGCCATCCTGAGTACCCAGCACCTGCATTTCTGTCTGTCTCCCTGAGAATCTGCCGCTCCTCGTCCAGTCACAGTGCCCGGGAGGATCCAGCCGCGTGGCTGGGCGTCCTGGGTGCACAGCTTGCCGAGTGATCTGGGGCATTAACACTTCTGGTCCCCTCTGAGCCTCAGTCTTATCCTCCATGGGAGGATGCTGTTTTCTTGCCAAAAACCAGGGCAGGCCCGCCCCACTCAGTGAGGACTGGGGATTCCACAGAAGCAGACGGGGTTTGGGTTCCCCAGTCTGGAACTCATTGTAGCTGCTGTTCCTTGAGGTTGTCGTGGCCAAGCTTCCGAGCCCACTCAGGTGCAGGGCTGTGGACCCTGCAGAGCCAGGCGTCCAAACCCCTGGCAGGAGGGGGCCAACCCCAGGCCAGGTCCTGCGGTGCGGTCAGGAGGAGCTGGGCTTCCCCGCCGTCGGGTAGAGTTTGCGCAGGCTGGAGTCCAGCAGGAAGTCCACCGACCTGCATGGAGGGAGGGTGGGGAGCAGGTGCCCAAGGGGTGCGACAGAGGGAACAGGAGGCTGGAGGCCGGGCTTAGGGAAGGGGCTCCCAGACACAGGACACGAATACCACCTAGGTGTAGACCCATCCTTAACCCATTCCTCCCACCTTGGGCTACTTGGGAAAGCCAGAATCAAACCCCCCAAATGGCACCACCTTCCTCAGCTTTATTCCACTGGGAAAACTGAAGTTCAGTTTACGAGGACTCGCTCTGGGTCTGGGGGCCGGTTAAATTCCCCCGGGGAAACACTCCCCTTCCTACTCTGCACTAGTCTGGGTGGGCTGAGCCAGTCTCTGGGTCTAAGAGCAGGCACATGACCCAAGCCTGGCCAATCAGGAAAGAGAAACTGGTACTCAGTCCAGGATAGGCCAATGACAGCCTTCCTTGAGCTTTTTATATTTTTATAGACACTACTAAAGAGCTGCTTTTTTTTTTTTTTTTTTTGGGGAGGTTTTTGCTATAGGGCACCAGCCCTCCTTTTTGGAGAGGTTTTTGCTATAGGGCACGAGCACTCACTGGAAAGAGAGAGACAGAGACAGAAAGTGAGAAATCACCCCCCAGGGAGGATGGCCATGCTGCAATCCCTTCTCCTCCATTCTCCACTCGGGATCTTGGGTATACATGCACATGCACCCGGTGTGAGTTTAAGTCACTGGGTCCTGGACTCAAACTGCGGTCGACTACAGGGGAGTCCAGTGACATAGCCATGACGCCAACTGCTGGTCACGACACTACTAAGGAGCTTCTGATAGAGCTTGTTAAGCTAGTGGGATGGAAGGTGGGAACTGCTGGGGCCATTTCTGCTCCCATGAGGGGAGAGTGAACGAGGCTAACAAGGAGTCGAGTGGGCTGGGGCAAGGAGAAGGTGTGGCAAGATGGGGAGACTCAGGTCCCTAACAACATCACTTCAGTGCCTAGATCCAGCCATGCCTGAAAGCAGCACAACCCTGGGCTTTATTCCTATTTAACTTAACTGCTCAGTTTGAGTTAGACTTCTTCTTCCCTTTTTTTTTAAAAAAATGTATTTTTCCCCTATTTGTCCAGAGGGCTTGCCAGAGAGCAACAGAGAGACAGA